TTGAATGAATCTTTCGTTAGAACATGGAAATATACAATATTGCGTGTGTGTGTGTGTGTGGGCCTGTTGGGAATGGGGGGACGACCCCGCCCCCACTGATCAATCAATCAATCAATCAATCAATCAATCAATCAATCAATCAACAAAAAAAAAAAAGACGGAAAATCGAATGAATCTTTCGTTAGAACATGGAAATATACAATACTGCGTGTTTGTGTGTGTGTGTGGGCCTGTTGGGCATGGGGGGGCGACCCCGCCCCCACTAATCAATCAATCAATCAATCAATCAACGAAAAAAATAAAATAAAAAAAAAATCGAATGAATCTTCCGCTAGAACATGGAAATATACAGTCCTACCTATGTGTGTGTGTGTGTGTGCGTTTGTGGGGCCAATCAATCAATCAATCAATCAATCAGCGAAAAAAGAAAAGTGTAATGACCCGCCAAAACACAGACTGAGAACACTGCTGATTTCTGGGATTTGCCACCGGAATGAATGCCTTGCCGTGATTCCCGCATTCTGTTGTGTTTTCCAAGTCTGTGTGTGTGTGCATGCCTGCCCGTTTGCTTGCCTGTCTGAGTGCTTGACGGTTGAGTGTGTGTGTGACCCGTAAGGGTACCTGTTGGTTGCAAGGCCCCGCAGGGCCGGTACTTACCTGTGGCCGTGACTTTGAAGGGTTGCAGGGGGGGTTAACACGCAGGTAGCGGGGGTAGGCCCACGGCACTTAGAGCAGCTGGGGAAAAAACACTCAAGTAGCAGGTAGGCCGAGCAGAAGAAGACAAAAAGTTGGCATTTTTAGAGGCCCAGTAGCGGTAGGCTAGAGGTAGGCCGGTACCAGTCCAAGTAGCCCGGGTCTAGGGCCTGTCCGGACAATAACAGAGCCTGCAATGATGTTTCCCTCCGAAAGTGAGGAGGTACCGGTTGCTGGGAGGCCGCTCGGCCTAGGAAGTCACCGCCCAGGAGGCCGGTAGGCCGCTATATCTTCAGGAAGAGCAAGAGGCTCTTCCTCATTTGCGGTGTGCAAGGATTGGCGACATGCTGCTGGAGCGCAGCGCTGGTCCTTACAGCGCTGCTTGGAGGTGAAGGCAGCTGGAGCTCAGCCGGCTATGGCGAGCAGTCCAGCTTGAGGAGGAGGAGGAAGGGGGGTAAGGTAGGAGAGTGGCGAGGTACTTACCTGGCTATGGTGGACTCCATCTTCATCACCTGGTAGGGCGCTGCATCTGGAAGGCCCCCGCTGGGGTAGTATGGCACCAAGGAGGTCCGAGCAGGGTCAGGCATGGCGGAGCAGYAAGCAGCACCATAGCTGCTTTGGGGTTGGCCGTTGCACATCAGGGCTAGGCCCAAGTAGTCCGCCATAGCCTAGGCTTAGAGAGATGAGAGGAGGAGGAGCCATGGCTATGGTGGACCGATGTWTGAGTCAGCAGTGAGGGGGAACTTCGGACATTGATTCTGGATCATTCATTCATTGTTATTACTATTATTATTGCAAGAGGAATAAGATTGGGGGAAGTTGGAAGGAGGAGGAAGGTGGAGAGAGAAGGGGGAGTTGTCATTTGTCTTGCTGGTGTACTTCTTCTTCTTCATCTTCTTTTGCTTCTTCTTCTTCTTTCTCTCTCCTCTGGTCCATATCTCTTTGCAAGTGCTTTCATTTCTTTCGCAATTTGGTGGCATTGTCTTTCATTGTGAATTGCACTTGGAAATGACCAGGATCGTAACAATTGGTATTAGAGCGGACTTACTTGCTGGCGAGAGGTGTTAACCACCCTAACCCTAATTTCGAATTAGGTTAGGGCTAACCTAATCTCGAATTAGGGTTGGAAGGTTAGGGTTAAGTGGGGCAGCGAGGTATGGGGATGCTGCCCCCACCTGGTTAGGTCATGTAGGGTCGACATTGGACCCAACAAGGTTGCTTGAGTGAATGGAGGGGGTGGCGAGACACAAAGGAGGCTGATTGGAGTAAGCGAGAGGGACTAGAGAGTGAGAGGTACTCGCACCTGGTATCTGGACTTCAAGAAGACATTGAGTGACTTTTGGGCTTCCCCTCAAGAGTGAGACTTGATCGGAGGCTGCCATATCTGCATCGGATTGCTGCAAGTTGCTGCTTTGGTCTTTTGGCATTGACGGGGGATCCGGCTTTGCATCAAGGGTGTAGGAAGGCCCTCTTAGTTATGCTAGGACACTTCGTGTAGTGGTAGCTAGGGGTCAGGAGGACTCATGAGAGAGGGGGGTGACTCGTTGATCATCTTTGGAGGCCGGGCCTCACAGGTAAGTGTCGTGTGACTTGGGTTTGCCCACGGGTGGTTGCTTGGTACTGCATGGCCTGTTGGGGTTCTATCTGGGCTCTTTTCCTCTTCTCTGCAGTCTTGTTTGTGTGTGTGAGCATGTGGATTGCTCCCTCACCTGATGGATGGATGGATGATGTTTCTTGCTCTAAATGAATTATCTTTCTACAGTGCATTGTCTTTCACTTCTGAACGGTAGTAGGGGTAAGTCTTTGTTGAAAGTTGTCTTTTCCTGTTCAGCACAGTAGAGACAGTTTGGACCTGACTTGGTACCCCTGTCTCGTTAGGTTTGGTTCACGGCCTACCTGGAACCTTGATTGGGACCAGTGGGACCAGGCCCAACGGGACAGGACCTTTGGGTCCAAATCTGTTGCCGCTAGTGCTTCTCCTTTGCTGAGCTAAACTTGGAGGGGGCATACGGACAACAAGGGTGTTCCTTTCAAGGGGATCTTGACTGGTCCTACTGCATGTGATCACTTACCGCCCCGCGTCTGACTCGGCGACCGTCTGCACCCCTCGAAATCTCCATTGCTGTAGTCAGTTTTCTTCAGCTGATTTATTGCATTGCAGTCCCCTGTCAGGTTAGACAAGAGGGGATCTCCAGCTAACCTGATTGGGCCCGTTCTATGAATCAGTCCTCTTTTATTTTTTATTATTATTGATTTATTCTTCTGCTGCGTGCCATTCTCAGTCCAAATGAATTGCCGCCCCGGCTAGGGGTTCAACCTTCTACTCTGTGAGTTCTTTGTTGTTTCTCTGCCTGATCTATCTATGTCCAGCATCGAGACGCGTGCGCAGAAAGCAGCGAGAGAGAAAAGGGARAGAGAAGGTGTTCTGTTTGAGAGTGTGAGGAAGGGCAAGAGGAGTGTTCGTCCAAACGGAAGGAGAGCGCAGACCCCTCTTGAGAGATCTACTGACATCCCTTCCTCCAGCATGGCGGAAATCACATCTGCCCAATGGCGGGTCATGCTGGACGCGGCAAGCGAGTTTGAGAAACCGTTCTTTCAGAAACTTTATGATGATGCGGTACTGAGGGAAGGGGAGGCAGAGGCAGCAGCTAAGGCCGTCAGCATTGCTGCGCAAGAGGCCCTCCTGCAGGTTCCGGAAGCTAATGCTGACCGGTTCGAGGAGAAGCTAGCTGCTGCCGTTGCAGCCCTGGTCCGTCTGCGGGAATTGGAAGACTTTGAATCTCGTGTGACAGCACTAGAGCAGCAGAACCGAGAGCTGCAGGCTGAGGTACTCAGCCTTAGACAGTCCCAGCTGTCTGCCCCCCGCCCTCCTAACCCTCGACTTGCCGCAGTCCCGGTCCCTCAAACTAACACAGCCCTAGTGGCAAGTGCAGGTGGAACTGTGGCAAGCGCAGGAACCGGTGCCAGCTCTTCAAGCGGCAGCGCCGGCAGCTCTGCACTCGTCATAGTCCCAGGTGCAGGCCCTTCAGCCCAGAAAGCCCCAGTTCATACTGGCATTCCATACAGCGCTCCCATGGTGGACAAGAGGGCGGCCACTTTGCCGTCCAAGTACGATGGGAAGGCGGATATTACATCCTGGATTAGTTCCATGAGATCATTCTTCGAGGTCATGCGGACACCGCAGGAGGACCGAAGTATGATCATGGGCACTAATACTGAACCCGTCGTACGGAATCATATTGAACTACAAGCTGTTGCAGCAGGCTACGAGAGGATAGACCTGACTAGCTGGCTGAAGGTGACCCCTGTACGCACTCTTGAAGATCTCCTCCTTGAACGATATCAGGATAAGCATGCGGCGCTCAAGGCTAGGCTAA